TGCCAGAACGCGACAGAGGGGTCTTCCTCCAGTAGCCAGGTCCCAGAAGCCACGGTGTATGATACGATGGGTTTAGGGTTTACGGGGTTTAAGGTTTAGGGTTTAAGGTTTAGGGTTTAGGGTTTACGGGGTTTAAGGGTTTTAGGGTTTAGGGCTTTAGGGTTTTAGGGTTTAGGGCTTTAGGGCTTTAGGGTTTAGGGTCTACTTGAAGTGTCTACTTGGGTCATCATGGGACTTAGTAAGTATGGTTACAAGTCCCCGAATGGGGGTTATAAGTATAGTTGCCTTAGTTACAACCCTACTTACTAAGTCCCATGATCCTTTTTAAGTAGATCACCCTCAACCCTAAACCCTAAACCCCTAAACCCCTAAACCCCTAAACCCTAAACCCCTAAACCCTAAACCCTAAAACCCTAAAACATAAAACCCTAAACCCTAAACCCTAAGCAGGACTAAGTCCCTTGATCCTTTAAGTACTGGAAGTTCGCGTAAGGATTCGGTGCGCAGGCCTCCAGGTTTTAGGGTTTTGGGCACTAGGGATTTCCGGATCATGACTGAGACTTGAGGGTTTAGGGTATAGGGTTTAGGGTTTAGGGTTTAGGGTTTAGGGTTTAGGGTTTAGGGTTTAGGGTTTAGGGCTTAGGGCTTAGGGTCAAGGCAAAGAGTGAAGCATGGGGCGTGTGTTTGCTCTGGTGTGCAGGATCAACTTGGAGTAGGCATTGCATCGCCCGTTGATTGTTTTGCACATAGTAGACATATGCCGTGCCGCCGATGGCGACATGGCTTCCCCATAACGGCAAGCTATCCTGGCTGCCCTTCGTCGATCGCGTGGAGATCGAGCTGGACCGAAACCCCTTCAATTAATGTAGGGGCCTTAATAGAATCAGAATAGTGTTTTGGAGGTTTCTTTAAAGGGTTCCTTAAAGGGTTCTGTAAGGGCTACTATAAGGGTTTAGGGTCTAGGGGCCTTAATAGTTTGAATAGGGTTTTGTGGCTCCTTTAAAGGCTTCCTTAAAGGGTTCTATAAGGGCTACTATAAGGTTTTAGGGTTTAGGGGCCTTAAAAAATTAGAACAGGGTTTTGGGCCCCATTCTACTATATTTAAAACAGGGATCCGCCAAAATATTATGGGTAATTATTTAGGCTCCTCTTGTAGCTCCAGCGCAAAATGGGACCAAGAAGGTGGCCCTCCAAATCCAAAACCTACTCCCCGGTTGCTCTGTAGGGCTCAGGGGGTTCAAGGGTTTAGGTGTTACGGTTCAATCATATTTAGGGTTTAGGTGTTAGGGTTCAATATTATATAGGGTTTAGGGTTTAGGGTTCAAAAAGTAGCAAGCCCACAGACGAGACAAACGACTCTTGTGCGTGTGGGCCCTCGCAACAGTCAAAAACATGTGATGTCTAACAACCCTTCAGTTGAGAATATACAAAAACCGAACGGTGGCGTCTAAAAGAGCCGAGAACATTAAGGATAGCTGCCCGGAGGTTCCATATATATGGGAGTTTCCGAAAAATTAGGGGTACCTTATTTTAGGGTCCTTAGAACAAGGGTCCTACTATTTAGGGTACTACATTAGGGTCCCCTATTTCCGGAAACCCGCATATTATGGAATTTGGTCCCAAACGACCATCCTTACAATGGTTTTGAGGGACCTAATTCCAAAATAGTAGTACATATGGACGCTCCTGGTTATAGCTTCTGGAATCGAACCTTGCTGCGATCGGGGGTTCCACGGTTTAGGGTTTAGGGTTTGACGTACACCTTCTAGTGAACCACAAGGAAGACTTGAAGATGATTGCCTACTTATAGCCTCCGTTGTGGTTCCTTTGTTTGATTTAACCAATTATATATGAATGATTTTATATAAAGTGTCCCCAAGAAGGAACTACAATGGAGACCATAAACCCTAAACCCTAAACCCTGAACAAACGCGCTCAGAGCGTAGGTAAATCCCCGCATTCGACCTGGAACCCCAAAGCCGAAATCCCTGACATAGCCCTTTCACCGTACTCGGAGCCTTCTGTGATTCCACGTCTATTCTTAAAGGAAACTATTAGGGTTTAGGGTTTAGGGTTTAGGGTTTGAGT